TCAATTTGAGGTAAGGGGGCCTCTACCTTATTTCCATTTGTTTTGAATCCAAATATTTGCTATAAGTTACAATGTGATTGAAATGAATATTAGACATGTGTGAGTGTAGAATGGCTTGATTGTGGTGAGGTTCTAGGAAAATAGGATGTTTATGTGTAATTTGATTGGATGTAAGCATACGTGTAGTGTGTGAAAGTGAATATTGTAATGTGATTGAGATTGTGGTTGAAACTAGGTGTTAGCATGCTATCGCTTGATGCAAAATAATTGAATGGTTGGAAATATGTGTGAATGGTATGTTGATGTTGATTATGAACGTGTTTGAATATGTTGGAAAGTTATGAATGGTTCGGCGATATACTGAAGGTGTGAAAGATGAGAACGGTAAAATACCTTAGGAAAAAAAGGGTGGCGGTGACACCAACAATGAGCGTGGGTGCATCACAGGCCACACACTCTCCTCTTGACTCGGCCTCTAACTAACGCCTTCGCTAAGGGGTCCATGACCACACACATTGTATCCGTGAGGCGGGAGTTATCTGACAACCATCCATGGTATGAAACTGAGTAAGTCCCTGAGGTTGAAGACGTCAGGAAAACTGTGATCACATTGCCACAGTGAGCATGACTAGCGTGCAATGAGCATACGTGGGTGTAAATTGTTTGATAGTGCAGTGAGCGCACTTGTATGTGGATGAGAATGAAATGCTGAAATTATTTCTTGTGTTTGTATGATGAATGATCTATATTATTTCCATCTTTGCGAAATTTATTTATTTATTAAAAATTAAATTAAAGTGTTATATGTAATGTATGTAGTATTTTCAAGAGTTTCAATTCTCAATCTTTCCTAACAATAGAATGCAGCAAATTAAGAGGAAGTGGCGTGCATATCTCTACCATAAGTTTGTGAAAGACAAATTAAGTAGAATAGATTCGTAGTGATTTTTTCATGAATACAATGTATATCCTTAAACACATTTGCATCTGTGTAGACTATTTTTCATTATAATTATATTAATTTTTTCTCTTTTATATTGTTTTGAAATTTTTAGATATTAAATTATTTTCAATTTAATTTAATTAGTGATTGTCATATTTAAATTGGTTTATCGTGTGTATTTGGAATATTAAAATATTTCTAATTATATTTAATTATTTATTATTGTATTACTTAGTCTATCAAGGGCAATAAATTTAAATTTGTTTATTTTTTTATAAAAGAAATTATAAATCAATTTGTGGAAGATAAATGCAAACTATATTGACTGTGAATGTAGAACAAAATTACTTAAAAAGAGAGATTGTCAAAATAATAAATAATTTTGCAATCCTTCGTGCAATAACAACCTAAATCATATGAGATATCATTTATAATTTGAAGTAAGACGAATTCAATTCATGAATATATAACCATGTAAATATAACAAATAAAAAATGTCTTCAATGAATAGAGAAGCTTTTTTGCAAAAAAATAAATAAATTAGAGAAAATAAATTTAATGAATTTTTTAAATTATTTTATTGGTAAGTACTTTGAACATTAATTTCCTCACGTGTAGTAGTTTAGGACCTGTTTCAATTTTCTATTCGTCATATTGTTTTCATATTTATAATTTTTATTTTTATTTTAGAGCAGTTCAAGGGTTTTTGAGGTTTAAAGCAAACTTAAAAATGAAATTTTTTTATTAATATAATAATTTATTAAAATTACTATAATTTTATTTAAAATTTAATTTTTTTATTATTAATTTTATCTATATCTATATTGTTATTTTATTCATTTAAGTAACACTTGTCTATATTTTTTTATTCATTTTTTTTATATATTTTTATAAATTTATTTATAATTTCTTTTTGTGATTTAATTAAAGTCTTGACTCTATTTTTTAAAAGTTTTGAATGGCTTGATTTATATTTTTTAGTTGACATATTTATATATTTTTATATAAAATTAAAAATTATAATATATAAAGTACTAAATATAAGTATATAAAATAAGATTAAATTAAAATAATAAAACTTGATTGTCAAGAAAATGAACTTGATCTTAGTATCTTATCTTGATGTCTCTATTTGTTCTTTAATAAATACTTATATTTAATTTCTAAATTTTAATGCTTTTCCTTGGTCTTCTACAAATTATTTTGAGATTTATAAAATAATAATAAAATTATTTTGATATTAATAATCTATCAATTGAGACAAATGATAATTTTTAATTTTTAGTTTTTACAATTTTATCTTGAACTAACATACTTAGAAGGAATAAATTAAATATCAACATTGATAATAAACTAGTTTTTTTTTTACCATTTTAAATAGAAACATACAATGACACAATGATAAGAGATAAATAATACTTAAATTAAATGTCAAATCAAAATAAAATTTAATAATAACAGATAGTAATTAGATAAAAGAAAAAGATATATATAATAAGAGATAAAAAAAAATTAATCAATTTCTTTTACTATTCAACAATTCTCTTTTTTTAAAATAATAAAATAAAAAGAAATTATTATTTATTAGTTAAGTTTATTACTTATTAAATGTTATTTTTAATACCAAAAGAAATTAATAATCACTTAAACTATTTTAATTAAAAATTATTTTTAAATATAATTTATTTTTTATTTTTAAAAATATATTAATACTAAAAAAAATAATTTTGGGGGGCTAAATTTCATTTACTTCCATCTCAATCGTTGGTCTCCAAATATGTTAAGTCCTTGATAATATTGAATGTTAATACAGTGCATATGTTACAAAACCAGAAATAACAATGTCTCTAAAATGAGATTTTGGCTCTTGTTCTTTATACATTTCTGCATCAGAATTCTCCTGTGAGTGAAGAAAAAAGGATAATAAGAATTAATTACATATGCATCAACAAATGTATTTGTTAAGATTTCTTGAAAATACGAGACACACACCATAGAAAACTTATGTTATCATTAGAGTCAAATTCTTTCTATTGGGTAATGCAAATATTAATATAGTTTTTAATTGGGCATCTCAAATGCTTTCTAATTGATTTGTATAATTATTATACTAGTGCTCAATTTGCTCTTGTAATTTTTTATTATTTTCCCCTATTTTTTTTGTGATGTTCATGAATAAATTTTTGCATTCATTCGTAACTAAATAAATGTTAGAATTCAGCATTAGGTATAACTCAGGTATTATTAGCATTCACCTTAGGTATAAACCACCAATCAACATGCCCAGAAAAATTTGGATAGATTTTAATCACTTAACCTCAGGAAAATTTAGCATCAAGAATAATAAAAAATAAAGCAATTTAAATTCTAGGACCACATCAAGCACACTCTCAATAGCAAATATAATAATGGGAAATTTTAGCATTCACCCATAATTGAATGCGTTTATTACTGTCACCAAAAATCTATGAATCTCAGCACAAAAGCTGTCAAGCAATAGTTTCATACATTTTGATCAGATCAGCTGCCATGCAGAGGCCATTAATGTCATATAAAGAGTCTACATCAAGAAAACGTTAACACAACCACACGGAGAAACTGTAACGAGTTCACATGTGATCTAATAAGCACAAAATTCTGTTTTTTTGTAAGAAAAAGAAGTGTTTATCCAAGAGTATGAACTGTGAATCATTCATTCATAATTACTTCCTTTTAATGCTTTTGGCCATAGCAGGATGTCACATTTGCTAAATCATTTTATCTCTGTTGTGCGACATGAAATAGGCAATGTGTGAACAGTGTAAAAAATTAGGCCCTTTCATGGCTAGAACGAGAATAAGAGTAAATATGATAAGATAGCATTCTATATCTAATTTTAATCAATCAAGTGTTTATTGAGTTATAAAAATAGGATTAATTTCTTATATTACCTATCCTATTAGACTAATGTAATTATTAATTTGAAAATATGGATAAGTTAAAAGAGTAAAGAAAAGATAATATTTGTCTTCTTAAAATACTCAGTTTATTTTATTCTCTCTATTTCCTTCCTTCACACTCCTCTTTTTCATTTTATTCTCTCTTCTCTCGTCTCTATTTTTATACATATTAACAACATAAAAATATATTAAATTATTTTTATATTTTCTATAAATTAAAAATAAATAACTTATATAGAATAAAATAAAAATTAAATTTAATAAATGTAAACAAAATTTTGTCAACTTGGTCCCTAACCCAATATTTCGATAGAGTAATTCTAAATTAATAAATTACATATATTGAATAATAAGAAATAATATTTTTAAAACACTTCAAAATTTTAACTAAATAATTTTTATGTTAAATAAAAAAAGTTTAAATGACATGTCTTCAAAAGGAATTTAAAATTTCTTTTATTATATTTATTTTTTTAATATAATTCATTACTTTTGTCACACTTGAATTTCATTTTAATCATTCCTTATTATTGATTTCATATCCTTTAGAACTTTAAAAATTTTCATCCAAACACAACCTTAAAAATTTGGTCTTAAAATTTGTCAAATTTACTCTCCAAAGAATTCATTTTCTGACAAATTGGGCCTCAAAGATTCTTTAATTAAACAATTTTATCCTCAAATAATCTCTAATCAATCAATCTAATCTCCAAAATAATCCATCACAACATAGTTGCTTTATGTTTTTTATTCAAACATTATCACTTGGTCACATTGAAACTGACAACCCAGACACTGTTATCTTGTTAAATCGACTATCTCACCGTTAGACTCCGGGAACTAATCCCATCAGCTATAACAAAAGATGAATTTGGAAAATTTTATAATTCAGAGTTAGACCAGATTAATTGATTAAGAACTATAAGTTCTGAGACCAAATTGATGAATTTTTTATAAAAAAATTATAAACTTCGAACAGCGTCACATTTTACGAGAGAAATAAAACGAACACAACAAGCATAGAGCCAGCACAGTGAGATATCAATGTTTCTGTTTTTCTCTTAAAAATATAATAATGAAATTAACTGGGATCACCTTTCATTAATATCAAACATAATATCAATTTTTTTTTCTTTTAAAATATATAACAATGTCAATTTTACAAGAGAAAACACAAATGAAATTAAAAAAACTCTGTAGACAATGATAGAAATCCCACTAAAATTTTTATTATCATTTTCCAAACATGACATCTTAATAACAATTACTAAAAGAGGATCCATGTCCCAATCAAACTAAATCCACATTACAGAAATTGTCAGACAAGATGAGCCAGAGTTGTTTCTTTCTTTATTTTAAGAGAAAGCTAGAATTTATCTATACGTAACCACTCCAAGTAAATATGTTATTAATTAATATTATTGATCATTAACCAAATGGGGTAATTCTCATTTAGAAAGAGTACAAGAGGATAACCCCAAAACAATAATGCCTTTATTCTAGATTCTCCCTCAAACCTAATTTATGCAGTTTGGAAAAAGTGGAAAGACAACTGAGGGTGATAAACTACCCTTTTAACTATATCAAAATCTTCTAAAACAGAAACGGCCGGAGAAGGGGAGGGCGAGGGTAATGAATATTTCTCAATGCAATCATATCGATTTTTCAATTCAACCCACCACAGTAACATCCCAATGCGCATTTTAACAATTATTAACACAGAAATGGTGCTTTGAATTTCAGGACGATTTGGCGCACAATTGCTCGAGTTTCTCCAGCGTGACACTTTTGGGCCTTTCGAGGGGCATTCCGAGAGCCCGGTCCCAAATTAACTGCGTTCAATAATAGAGAAAATGTTAATTCCGGGTTAACAAGAGGAGAAAAGTTAACTAGGAAACAATGCGACATGACAAACCTGAGGACCAACTCCAATACTCCTAGCTACACCAAAGAGAACAGTATAATAGCTGTCCACAATGTTAATAAATAATCAGATTCACAAGTTAATGGCAAAATGAAAACTATTTCAAGTCAAACAGGCGAGGCAAGAGAAGTAACACCATACTTTTCCTCAGTTAGACCGTAGTAGTTCAGTAGCACTCCACTGTGAGCATCAACATTAGGCCATGGATTTTTAACCTACATCATTGAAGACCCAAGTTCAACCACCTTAGGAATACATTACAACTAATAGCAAAAAAGAAATGAGTACATCTTTTATATGGTTCAGTGTCTCAAATTTAATGTGGGAATCTACATGAAAACAAGTGGTAAAACATCCAATTGCAAATCATTAAAACCAAGACAAGAAAACAAAAATACAAAGCAAACAGAACCAAACTAAAATGTCAAGGACCGGATCTGAATTCATCTAAAGAAATGAACAGAGCGACTGACTAAGGACTACCCGTGAGAAAAAGCCAATACTTGCTTCATAAAAAATTGTATACAAAGACCTCGACAACCCCTCTTGAATCTTTATCCACAATTTCGTTTCTTTTGAACTAAAATGCTTTATATACAAAATTCACCGTGATTTGTGGAAATGACTGATGTCATTAAATTAAAAAACCCTAGCAACTCAACAAAGAACTAAGAGTTCATAATCTAATGAGAAATGCTTGCAACACTCTTAACAATGCTACATATCAAGGAAATATCTAGGTCCATTAGGGGCTCCGGTTATTTACTGAGATATACTTTTAAATTCACCTAATATAAGAGTGCATCAAATAATGTGTTGCACTAACATTTCTCCAATCTAACACACAACCCCAAGTGGACCATCTTCCTTGCATTGTGTATAATTCAATGCCATTGCCCAACCTTAAAATCCTACTACAATCTTAGCACAAACACGGATTCATGGAATACTGGCATTTGGCAGTGCATTCAGTAAGAATAAATCATTTTGAACTACAAGAGAACAAAGTTAAGGAAAAAATAATTCCATAGAAATGTATATTGAAAAATAAAAATGTAAACATTACCTTGCCTAACTTGGTAAGAATGGGAGGCACAACCTCTTTTATTTTTGACACCTGAAAGGGTCAGAGTCACATTAGATCATGACAAAATTAAATTACTATAAGAAAACTTTGGTTGTACTGTCAGAAAGAACTCCAAAGCAAATACAACCTGGAATTAAGAAATATGTGATTACCAGCTGGAAAAGTGGATCATTAGGCAAATGCTTCAAAGCAAACTCCCTCTGGCATGTGTATCTTGGATCTGTCTTGCGCAAAACCCCATGTCCATATCCAGGCACAACCTGCAAATCCAAAAAGTGCAATGGCCAAACCCTATTATAAGAGAGGCTGACAGATATTCTGTCTAAAGAATCCTTAATGCAAAGATATGCATATTATACCATATGAAAAAACCCTTGCCTCCCCCATGTGATTTTACAAAAACCTCCCATAAATATTGTTACCTCCCCCATGTAATTTTAAAAAATCTCCCTTGAATTATATAAACGGACATGCACTAACTTCCTGTCAAAGAAGATGTATTGTAATGAAAAAATTTGTGGGCAAGTATGTGGAAAACATATAAGGGGAACTGAAAAACCATAATGCCCTCCAGCCAACAAATTATTTTGCTTAAGAAAAGATTTTGAACATAACATGTTGGACACAGTGGCATGAGTTTCTTGATTTTTTTATTTTTTCTTTCTTTTTTCTCCAAGTGGAATTCTAATCCTCTGCTCTTCCCCAATGAAGTTAGGTACTTATATTGGCCAAAACAAAAATCATTAGAAAATTTACCAATATAATTAATTGACCAAAACACAAAAGCTTAAGTGAAAACAAAAGGTTTCAAAAATACATTCACCATCATGGATTCATATCAGTTACTACATTACCTGACCACTATTCAATGTTTTATGAATGTAGTCAGACAATTGTTCAGTGCTTATGTTTGGAGTTCCAAACTCTGCAACAATCGACCTGATCCATCGTAGAACCTCCTGTAACATAACAACATAGTAGAAGTGAACAAAACTAAAAATATAGGTGTCTGACTGTACTTATCATAACATCATATACTAGTAAAGCAAAGCAGTTTTATTTATAAAAAATTATAACAAAACAATGTAGGACTGAGTAAATATTATAACCAAACATGATTTTGGAACAGAAAGATGAACTCTAGCAAATTATAAGAGATACAGAAAACTGATTATTAGGTAAAACTAAATAAGAAAATAACCTGATTGGCCAAACCATGCAGGGGCCCAGCTAAACCATTCAAAGCAGCTGCAAATGCAAGGTAAGGATCTGATAGTGGACTAGCAACCTGCAGAGAACAGAGAGTAAAATATATTAGAAAAGTAAATAGATAAATAAAAACATAGGCATTTATCAAAGCACAAGTTTTCTATATTAAAATTTATTTTTTTTATATTTTATAATTCAGAATTATTACAACAGGATGGAGAAAGAGTTTGATTAAGTGAAGTAACTCACTAGGTGAGCTGTGTGTGAACTAACATTGCCACCTTCATGATCACTGCAAATGAAATTTAACAATAAATAAATCATAGAATAAAAACAGGGGTTGCTGCTTGCTGATAGTTAAAAGAGAAATATACCACTCATCATGGTCATAATATGTGCCATCATATGTAACAGAATACGAACCTATGGATGGAAATATACAGCCTCATAAACTCCAGCATTTCTGGATCATCAAATCCTAACATGTGAGCATAGTTTGCACCATAATCCAAAGAATCATCCAATGGTATGATTTTTCCATCTTTGTATTTCCTTTAAGATAGAATAACAAGTTAATCCAAATGTAAGAAGATTGTAGAAAATTGTCAAATACTTTTGATCACTGTCATCCCAAAATATGATACATCCCATTGTTTTTCTATATAATATACCATTGCATGTTAAATTTGTAATTTTGATTAGAATGATATGCTTTACATACCGTCGATAAATATAAGCAGCAATGGCTGGCAAACGAGCAATTAAATTCAAGCTATCCTCATAAGTTGGCTCCCAGTACCTAAAATCCAAGCAGTAAACCAGCTAGAGTAACATACAAGGTTGCAAGTAACACAAACACCATTTAGAATCTTACCTTGCCTTAGCTATCCCACCCTCATATGCCTTCTGAAACTCACTCTGCACCTGAAATGCAACGAATTGATTGTGAATCATTCTTTCCTATTACAAAAACATCAATAATATAAACATTAGGCAATCAATTTATTTTACTATGTTTTTCCGGACAGATTTGAGAAAATGAGATGAGAAACAAGCACTAAGGAAATGAGATTAGAGGGTTCTTAAACTAGTAAAGTCTGTGAAAGTATTGAGGTGGAAAAACCTCTAATCCATTCAGCATAGTAATAAACAGATAGAGCTCTCATGGCATCCATAGAGGAATGAAGTGGCAAAATCCCATAATTCCCTGGATATAGGATGTCTATTCCCCTTGTTACCAATGTTTTTCCAAAATCGAGATTTTAGGTAAGATCAGAAGGGGAGTAAAAGATCGTAAATTGTAGGTAGGATCATAACATGGATCATAAAATTCTACTAAATATGCAAAACTATACTTGAACATCTATAAATGCATAAAAAATAACAGAGATAATGAAAATAACCTTTAAATCACAACATTAAACTAACTTAAACTGAAAATTCAAAAGCATAACATCCACTACCACTCATAACTCATGAGTCACAATTAGTCACATAAGTTTTTCATAACAATTAAAACACAAAAGAAAATAGTCCAAACGTTCAATTATAAAATCTAGAATTCTAGATATTTCGTGTAACAGAAAATCTCTAATGTCCTAGACACTCCCACCAAGCCCAATAGATACCACCAGCACCATCAGACATTGCTACTTCCAGATGAGAATAGATAGTCAGAAACAGACAAGAGAAAGGGCGTTTGACATAAGAGAAGAGAAGCTTCTTTCCTCTGCCATGAACCATGCTGCACCTAGATGTCTGTGTGCAAGGGTGAGGCATGACTTATGAGAAAGCAGAGGAGAGCGTGAGGGTGAGACAACAGATTACAGCAGGTGGCAAATGTAAGTTCCTGTTCTGATTAGGGTTATGTTTGGGAAGAAATGAAAGGAAGAGATGTGTGAATGAAGTTAATGTTTTCGTACTGTACAGGTTTAGAAAAAACCAAAAAACCAATAAAACGGTTTTTCATACAGGTCAGCAAACCCCAAAGATAACCCATGTCTGGAGGAATCATGCAAGCTGATCCAATTCAACAATTCTGCCATCCTACTCCGCAATGCCACTACAATTTCACATTCCCACTATTCTACTAGTGAATCAGCTCAGAAGGCAGTAGAAAAATCAGACAATTGTTCAATTTCATGATTAAACTCATAATTTTAACAACATTGCTTGTTACACATGAATTATGTGAGGACAGTTTGTCACAAATTCAAGTGCCAAAGGATCAATTTGGTCAACTAAGCAGTTCAATTACAGAAGAAAAATAATGAAACAAAAATGAGAAGAAACCATATAACTTAGATGTTGAAGAAAGAATCTGTTACTCAACCTGAAGGGCCATGACACCAGTTGTAAATTGAGTCATCGGATGAGCAGAAACAGGTAATGCATCAATTGCCTTATAAGCATAATCTGCAATTAAGAAAATAACAAATTTACAACTTTTGGGGCATTACAAGAATGAACTCAAGTGCATGAGAAACAAGCTAGCAAAAACTTTTACTTTAAAAACTTCTAGATACATTTGACAATGCGACATTTGAGCAAGGGCAAGTAGGGGATGTTGGTAACACAGACAAAATGCACCAAAGCATGTTCATATTTTTTAAGTAATAAGCAATTACATATCGATGCAGAATTTCTTACGCAAAAACCACACATACAAAAATGAACAATTGAGATGCTAGCTGTAAAGTTCCTTCACAACAAATATTCCAAACAAAACATTAGCTACTATGATAGACCTTAAGTTGTAACCATATCTACGCTCTTGAACATATTGTCATGCACTATCTATATTGTGTTAATTCACACATTAATGAGTCAATCTATTATATTACAATGAAGTATGAACAACACATTGATTTCAAGATAATCATAACCAAGGTATAACATCAAAATAAACTGAACCTGGGATAGTTGCACGACTTCTCAATTCTTGGGCTAATGAATCTACTTGCTCTTTGCTTGGTATCTGTGACAAAATGTATGAATCAAAGATTATACAACAAAATTTCAACTGCAAACACATATTAAAACACCTTCAGACAAAGTTGTGCTATACTGTATTGCAAAGTCAGTAATTATCTAAAACTATAGCTTACCTTTCCTGTCAATAGAAGCCACAGTATAGCCTCAGGCAAAGGCTCCCCACCAGGAAAAGCACCTGGAAGTTTCTTCTGGCATTCAGGAATTGACATGCCCCGAAAGCGAATTCCCTGGAAGACATGACATGCTGATATCAGAGATCCATTCAGTACATATTAACAAACAGGGACACTACTAAATCAGAGATTTATCAACTAATCAACAATTCAACATAGTCATTAGTATGAGATAATTCACTTCACGTTGATAGTTCATAAATATCTGTAGTGTGAAGAGTGAAGACTGAGTTAAATTAGATATATACCTCATCTGGGTCAACAGCTGAGCCTAGCCACACTAAAGCCGTCATTCCTCTCATTCCACCAAGCACCTTTTAATAGTGACAAAGGGTGCTCCATAAATAAGTGATATTGCAAGCTCATTGATGAGAGCAGAGGACAGTATTTAAATGCCGCTAGTACCTAAAAATAATATATCTACACAAGGATAATATGATTACCATATCAACAGTGATTTTCCCCAATTCAACATTTCCATGATCTTTCTTGAGCTTCTTAACACGTTCCTGTAACCAGGTTTTATGTATAGATTAAAACATAAGGCAGACAGACAACACACTATTGAAACATATTAATAGTAATTAGACATTTGTAAGTTGCAAGCTAAGTATGAAGAAACAATGAAAAGAGGTAAGCATTGTTTATGAACCAATCAACACTGGAATTACAAATCAGGTAAGACACCTACAAAGCATCTCATACTCGTGATACCATGTGCACAACACAAATAGCCACAACTAAAATGTGCATTGCAAGTTGAGCACAGGCAAGAATTTATTTCACACTAGCTAGCTCTCGCCCATTAGGCCCAAAGTAATTTTAAACTAAACCATGAATACAGCAATGAAGCCCACCCTTCATATATCAGACATCATAAAACTGTTACCCATCTGAAGGAAAAGGCAGACAGAAAATACACATTATACCATCAGAAAGCAGCATGGATGAACATTAATGAATCCAAAAGTAACACTATTATCACCACCGAAGCATAAATTGAAGATATACCTGATATTCTGGAACTAATTCCTTCAACTCAGAATAAAGATCCTGAAAAACAGAAAAATAACCCTCATGAACAAAAGTCAAAATAGACAATTTGATAGATACTTAACTTCATGCATACATAAACAGCGATTAGTTTCAGATATCCCGCAAAGTCCAATCAACACCACTAAACTACTGTACACGATTCCAAACTTCACCACAATAACAGTAATAGCAGCACCATCCTCAGATAACAAATTGCATCTAATAATGCTCACTAGAGACATGTCATCAAGCACCAAACATACAGTAATAAGGAAAGGAGAAAGAGAATACATTGTTACCGGAGGTCGGAGTCTGGAGCCATCTAACCGAATTGGTGACATTAGATTGCTGACCCTGTCATCAAACATAAATAAATAAACCGTTGCATAAACCAATAATAATAATAATAATAATAAATGACGAGCAAAAAGCAAAACCAAAAAATAAAAAAAATAAAAATCAGCAAGTGACAAGAAGAATGAAACAAAATGAATCACTAAAATTGAACTTTTATTTTCAGTTACCATACGAGAGCGAAGCCGAGAAAGTGCAGAAACGCTTCTGAAGAAGGCCATTAGGACAACGCAACAACCTGCATCAGCTCGTCAATGTCATGAATTCAAAAATTACGGAATAAGAAATTCATGAATTGAGGGGGGAGAAAAAAAGACGTATGGCAAAAAAAAAGGTACAAGAAGAGGGATCACGAATCCAAACAATGAGGAAGAGAATGGTTGAAAACAGAAGAAGTAAAAGGAAGCAAACTAGCTAGGGTTTGGAACCCAGCGAAGAGAGAAAAGCGTACCAGTAAAAAGCGAAGGAAGAAGAGAAGAAAGATCGTGGATCCAGAAAGTTTGCGAATTGTATTGGTCTTTATAAGGAGAATGATATTAACGTGGTGCTGCTGAGTCTTAAGAGTTTAGTGGAAACACGGGTTAAAAATAGGTGTTTGACCTTGCAATTTTAGACAGGGATGGTAGCAACGGAGACCAGCCCACGCTGTTTTTCCTTTTTGGTTTTTTCTCTCGTTACATTTTTTCGTAATTTCTTACATTAGTTTGAAGATTAAGAGCATTTCCATGCCTTCTGCATCATGATTATTAATATTATATTATATATAATAAATAATAAGTGATAATATGAAAGGGTGTCATTGTCTAATACGTTTTTGTCTATTTTTTTCAAAAACAAATATTGTAATCGAATAACTTCTTTAATCCCACATTAACTAATCCAAGAAGAACCTGCGTGTTTAGTTTACAATTGTTTGTAAATGGAAGTTGAGAAGAAAAAAAGTGTAATTTGATTATTCTTTAAGACAGTTTTATAATCATGAAGAAATACTGGTCAAAAAAATATAGCTGCGGTTTAGAGCTGAACTTGTATCTTTGTTTCTAGTGTTATAACTTCTAGACCTCAATTTTTTTTTCCTTCAAAGTTCCAAAAGGATGAATAGTTAAGTTAGGTCGCTCAAAGCTGGAAATGTAGTTTTGACCTGTCTAAAAGGGTTGGCTCCTAACACAGATGCACACGTACCTGGAAATTATTAAAATAAAAAAAAGGTACAAAGCTTTTTTCTCTACACTGAATTATTATTTTTATTTAAATCATGTCATACTGATTAATATTATAGGATAGTTATGTTAATAAGAGAGAAATATATTCAAATTTATTTTTAATGTTATTATTGTTACATAAAGAAATGTGAGCGACACATTTTTTTTAAATTAACTGTATATTTTTATTAAAAGCTAAGATATATAAAATAAATATTAATTTAAAAATGAAAAAGAGTAAAATGGAATTTGTTTCAATTACATATTCATATTCTCTCTAGAAAATAAGAACCAAAGTTGGCCATTCTTTATGGCGAAGGATCCGCATCCGATGCTTGAGTTTTTGGTGGGTATTATCTATTCTCAATTCGGCTTGTTGGGGTTTAAACATTGCGGAATCCCTTCTCTAAGGCTAAAAAGCAATCCTTCAATCAGAATATTTCTATACAAAACAAATAAATCCTTTACAAAATATCTCTAAAACGTAAAAAACAACGTCAAAAAAAATATTAGAATCAGAATATTCTCCAACAGAACAGATTAAATTAAAAGTAAAAGATAAAAGACAGTATTGATATAAATCTAAAAATCAATAAAAAATTAAGAAAAATTTAAAAGAAACTAAAAAGATTATATAAAAAAAACAAAATAAAACTCCACAAATTAATGAAATAATACAAGAGAAAAAATAAAAACAAAAAATCAATAAACTAATAGAAAAATTAGAAAAAACTAGTAAATGATTTTATTAAAAAAATTAAATATTCTAGAATCTTCTTTTGTAAAAGATAATTCTACATCTAAATCCCCAACTATAAAAGATCTACAACATAAAATAAAACTAATAAAACAAGAAATTAATAGTCAAAATAAGGACTCTAGATATGAAGAATTATTAAACTCAATAATAGTACATAGAGGTACTATGAAATACATTTAATATTAGAACAAGAGAAATATAATATGATAGTTCTTATAGACTTAGGAGCAAATATAAACTGCATACAAGAAGGACTTATACCAACAAAATATTATATTAAGACTACAGAAAAACTAACTTCAGCTAATAGATAAAAAATGAATATACAATATAAGTTATGTAAAGATTTGTAAAGATAATATACATTGTTCCTGTTTCGGAAACACTAATCTTCTAACCTCTGCCTGGGTAGGATGACGTCTTTCTGTACGTAGATGACATGGGGAGGGTACCTGCAAAAGACACTTCGATGCTGAAGTCAGATCTCGGTTCTGAGTAGCAAATACTATTTTAATAATTAAAAGTCAATGCTTTATTTGTACTTCCTACCTTTCTTTTATAGGCATCGTTATGCGCTAATGAGCTTGCTGAATCAGCCTTAGTTTTGGCCCTTTAATTAAAGTAAATAATATTCTGATTATTACCTTCAATTGGGTTAATTACCTCCTAATCCGATAAGGGGTGTTTGGTCATATTAGGTCGAAGGGGTACTCGGTTACCTTTTTCTACGAGTAGGACCGAGTAAGGCCTTATCCAGTACACTAGCCCCCAAGCTCGAAGAGGTACGAAGTGAGGGCTTAATAACAATGATATAAACACCAAGGGTATGTAGATGAGGAAGTACTCGATTTTAAGAGAAAGTAGGTATACCGAGGAGGTACTAGGTTTCTGAAGCGGCTAGTATATAAAGAAAGTATTCGGTTTAAGGGAAGGCCAGTAAACCGAGAGGGTATTCAGTTTAACAAAAAAGGTGAATAGGTCGAGGGGTGTAATCATAAAGAAAATTATAAGGTGGAAAATAAAATAGTAAATAATTAAATAAAGATTTCGGTCATATCCGGTCAATTTTTAGGGTTTCCTCGTAGTATGTGTCTGAAACGAAAAGGTGTCTGATCTAAGCCATAGATCTGGAAAAGATCTAAAGGTCCAGAGGGAGTGCAACCTTTCGCTTGCTCGATGCCATGTACTCTATAAATACGTGATGGTCTAGGCTTCAATTTGTCACTTTTGTTCTGAACCGATAGGTATACTACTGCTCTAAACCGAGAGGGTATTGGGGTGTTTGCTTGCCAAGAGCTCCTCTGAGTGGGAGGACTCTTTATCTGATTCGTCGGGGCCGACTACTGTTGAGGTTGAAAGCATTAGAAGAATCGAAGAGGGTGAGGTTTCTTCAAGACCGAGTAGGGCAGAGGATGAAGTAGAACGGGTAGTTAGGGAAAGCAATGATGGTGCTGAACCGTCAGGTGTAGCCGATAACTCTGAATCTACTCAGTCATTACCGAATGTCATCCCCCCTAGGGAAAGACCAGTATTCTCTCCTTGTACAGTTCCTAGATACGAGTGGGTCCATGGGAAGGTGGCCGCCTACTTCTCTCACTTTCAAAGGAACCGAGACCTTCAATCTTTTGTAGATCACTGCGATATTTCATTATGGGAGTCTTCTACTCCCTATCAATAATGATTGACACTTACCGAGGGAACGACTTCGACAATCCCGATCTAGTGTTCGTAGGAGGTGTTGGAATGGCCGACACCTTCTTAGTATATGAGTACATGTTTAGGGAATTAGGTATAAAGTTACCCTTTGACGACTTCCAAATGCAAGTGTTGAGGGTTTTAAATGTAGCGCCAACACAACTTCATCTGGATGGGTGGGTGGCTATACAAGCCTTTAGAATCTTATGTAAATTTCATTACATAGAACCTAGTGTAGGTTTATTTCTTCATTTCTTTTGTACTCGTCCTTAAGATTTAGTAAGGTGAGTATCCTAAATAAGGCAATCTGAATTGCCATTATTCAAGCCTTATACTTCATCTTTCAAAGGTTTTAAGACCGGCTACTTCAAGGTAACCGTGCACCCTGTAGGTAGAAATTATTTTTTTGATAGCAAAGGTAACACACTTTTCCCCTTCCACTGGACTCGGGTACCTTGTCAATATGACATTTTACCCGAGGACATGCTATCGACTGCCGAGGTGTTGGCCTTGGAATACTTGAAGTCTCTTCGTAGAGAGCTTTTTGCCCGAGCCCTCATTCTCTTATAGAAGTCCCCTCATCCACGTCTAGACATGGATGGTATGATTCGTTTTTATAGTCTGTTATTTTTTTGAATCAAATTGTATTGATTTGACTCTACATTTTTGTTGTAGGTTTAATGGCGCAGAAAGGGGTAAACATGCTGACCTACCATCATGGTCTAAGAAGGCGGACTCCAGGTGATACACCAGTTGAAGATCACCAACACCCCCCTCTTGACCATGTTCCCAAGGTAATTGAGCCTCGTCCTCCACCCTAAGATCTTGTCCTTACAAAAGGGCAAGGAGAAAGTAGGGGAGAAGGAGAAGAAACGGAAACACTCCCAGTCGGTCTAGCCGATTGGTGTTGATGGGGCACGAAAGTAGGCCCGAGTTGCTGGGACAGGTGGGGCCAGTAGCTCTTCAAACTCTGTGATTCCCCCAGCGGTTCTATCCGACTCCTTCCTAGCTGACGGGGTTTGGGCTGGACGAGTGGTTGCCCCCAATTTAGTCTCTTATTCGGGTAGGGACGTTGTCAACAATTTAAACCACTAGTTTTTGTGGCAATGCTACGCCGAGCTTCAAGCCCGAGCCATGGTGATGCTTCGAAGGCTGGCGTTGGAGCCCCTGTTGGAGTTGGAGAAGGTTCAAAGGGCTATGCAAGAGAGGGAAGAGATCCAAGCTGCCCTTGCCGAGACCAACAAGGCTCTGGAGACCGAGGTCGCTCAACTTAAAGAACATTACAGTATAACAGAGCATCGACTTCAGAGCACCGAGCAGGCTCTGAGGGCTAAGGAAGCCGAGATGGAGGAGGCTTTAAGGGCAAAGTCACTGGAGATGGAGAAAGCTCTCAAAGCTAAATCCCGCGAAATGGAAGAGGCCTTGGCTCATGAAAGGCAGAAAGTGGAGGCTGAAATGAAGATATTTTCTGACAAATGTTTAGACAAGATGGTTGTCGAACATGAGGCAGGCTTCCAACATGTTGTCCGCCAATGTCGTGAATTTTGCCAAGTTCCAGCCGACTTCCATTCGACCTAACCAGAGACTTCTTCGGCAGAAGATTCTTGCGATATGACGAAGTAGATGATGACATAGAACCTGACGCCGAGGCCCCTAGCCGAATCCCAACAGCTGAGAATGCCCCTGGTCCTGATGCTGGGGAGGGGGATTTAACAAAAAAATTTCTTTTTTATAATTTCCCTTTGTATTCATGGGCCGATAGTGCCCCAATTTTGTAACTCCTTTGGTTTAATCAATACAGATGCATTTTTTCTCTAGTCTTCCTTGTTACTGATGAATCCACTTTTTATTATATTTTTACTTGCCTTTTTGGTGCTCCTTGATAGAAAAAATGGACTTAGATAGTGCAAATA